GAGGCCACTTGAACGCGGGTGACAAGTAAACAATATTTTTGAAAATGAATTGAAGAGATTCGTACGAACAGTAGATATAGTAAGTGAACAACAACGAATGGAATGGCGATAAAATCTAGCCCAATCTCTGGATGCATTAAAACTTAATAAACTGACCTATACATCAAACTCTTTACTATTTCACAATACAGTCGAAGTCATGGAAAAATGATTCAATAAGAAAACAGTGTAGCGAGTGTTTAAACTTGTTTTGCACATATTAAAATTTTATTGCCTATGTTTACTATATGTATTTATGACACCGCACTCATCAAAGTATGTTTTGTGCAATCGATTAAGCTCTAGACCTTCATAAATGAATTTACATACTTACAAACCCATGTACATAAAAATAAACTTAAATACGCGGGAAAAACATTGCCCTCATCGTCAGCCAAGTAATTACAAAGTTTTACAACTATCATACTGTTGATTCAGTTCGATTAATATTTGTAAACAATATATCGGCTTAAATTACGATGACTATGATGATAATAATGATAGGCCTTATAGCTTGGTAGACTATAATTATGAGAGCACTTAACTCATTATCTAAGTTATGGCGAGAAATTATTTAGGACATTTAAAGAGACTTTTCATACATACAAGGTGACGCTCGCGACTCCGTCTTCGCGGAATTAAAAAAAAACTAAGTAGATTATGTGCTCTTCCAAACAATTTTCCACATCTATGCGAAATTTCAGCGTTACATGCAGGCGTTCTGGAGATACCTTTTAACAAACATCCTTCCATTCAACTATCCATCCAAATGTTTGCATTTATAATATTAGTAATATTAATTAATAAATAATAAAAGCGAAATAAATTGGTAAACCAAGAAAACTATTAGTAGGGAATATTCGGAGAACAAGAATATTTAACTGTATTGCCTTAACAGACGTTTCGAACTAATAGCAAGCGCTTGCAGCGCTGCAAGCGATGTAGTCGCTGCCATTGCACATGTTACCGCAGCTTTTATGACCGTCGTAAGGGAGTGTTGCTGCTTCTAAGAAACAGCCCGAAACGCACATGGACTGCAATAAATCCTTGATTATCCGGCCCTGAGCTGCGCTCACAGTATTTAATAGACATCTATGTACGCTTTAAAATTGTAAGTATATGTTTCAATTCTAAATTGAAATGAATATTCACATTTGTACAAGATTTAGCTCATTATTTAATTATTATTCATAATAGATAGTTTTTAATTGATGATTTTTAGTAAAGGAAATACCTCGTATGATGTACTGCGCATCTCTGAACAAATGATATGTCTGGAACTAGCAATATTGCGCACATTGAAAGTGAAAGTATTGTATTGACGTCAAACTGCGCATGAATATTCGTTCTATACGGCAGTATTGATCGAATTATATGTAGCTTCTCATAATTCATGTACTCCTGGTACCTGAGTGATATCGTGACACTACAAACTCTAACACCGTATTTTATGAAAACCACTTCTTACAACTAAAAAATCTTGGGCACATCTCTCTGTTCTAAATAAGATCACCAAAAACACTAGACCAAAGAGGTGAATACTCTATGTATTACCTATTTATTACTTCTAACAAGACTTATAATAAGACAGTTTAGGAGATCTCAGATACATACAGAAAATAAAATTCTTTGTAATAGCAAAAAATTCAAAAAGATTTGGCTAAATATTTGGGTGAAGAGGACGTAACAAATTTGTAAATTAATTAAAAACAACAATTTAGACAAAAAAAAATGATAAGAAACTAAATAAAATAAAATATTATGATGTACTTAAAAATGTATGTTGAATAAGTTTCATCAATGTTGGTGACTATGTAACAACAACTTAACTCACACTCAGTAACGAATCTTGCGAATCAATACTCTGCTCTCTACAAATAATGAAAGTGAAAGCGCTGACAAGTATACATTGTTACACGATACGATATTTATTAAGATTATAGTGATAAGTATATGTTTTACAGAAATAAAACTATCATTTTATCCTGAATAATCATATTGTTTGGACTAATTCTTCTGGCCCGCAGATATTTTAATAAACACAAGCAATATACATGAAATATCAATTGATTTAATGAATTCTAACTGGGCAACATAAGGTTTCACTTTACTTTATCTATTACCTTCTTTCATCTTCTATAAATCATAATGTTCGAGAACCTATAATCTTCTTTTCTATCAAGGGCTGTCAAATTCAGTAATTGCGAACTACTAATCTAATTATTTTTCAACGTATTAAATACCTTTTAGGGGGCGAGACGTCACGTCACTGTTATATATTGTACCGGATAACAATGGACACCTTTATAACTTCGGACGAGGTTTACTCCTCTGAAAATATGATTTCCCTGTACATAAAACTATTTGGCGCCGTTCTCTGATAGTTATAGTTGTATATGGAAAACTATTCGATAGAAAAATCTTTACAAAAAAGTCAAATCTTTTTATACGTTTAAAATATCTAAGAGAAAATTAATCCTCTTAAGGTTATTTAATCTCTTAGTGCAGATTCCCTATGTTAGTACACTAAGGAGCTCATTTAGTGACCACTTAAAGATTTTGAGTGTAATAGAAACTTAAAAATTAATTTCAAGTTATTATCATCAATCAATTAAACAAGTTATAATAAAGTAAGAGGAGGTCACAATCTCTAATTACAAATGGCGATTAGGGTTATCAAAATTAAATCATTTTAATTTTTGTTTTAAGGCATATATTAAAAAATAATTTTCAAGCGATCATGTTCCGTAGAGTTTATACAACAATCTGAAGACATAAAATCAAAATTTTGATTTTAGTAAAGACTAAAACAGAAAAGTTGTTGTTGGAAACTTGTGTAGTTTTTCAACATTATTTTTAAGCAAGCATGGCTTGGAGAGCACTTGTAAAAATTCTTGCTGAGTGTGCTTTAGTTTTTCTTATAATATACGCCAAAATATAACTACGAAAGGCTACCTACAGCGCGGAATAGTTTCATGTATCCGGAGTTCATAATTTAAAGAGGGTTAAGCTTTGAATTTGTAGCGGGCAAAATGAATGCAGCACGATTCCGTATATCACGGACTTTTGCTATGATCGTAATTTTAATTCCAAAAAATAATAAATGACATTTTAATCGCATAGAATTATTTTTGAGCAATACAATAAATCTTTATCTTTAGTATTAGAGAGTAAAGTTATCCATAGATTTAAATTTAATACATAGGAGTGCCGTAGTGCCTTGTGCACAATTTTGTGTTATCTACAGCAAAAAAATGCACTTAGTTTCACTACCGGATCGTGTCTAGTTAAATCTGAAGCTGTTAAAAAATTACAATAATTTAAATTATGAAATCATGCTATAGCATATACGTGCTAATGGTGTATTTGAATCACTGAATTTTTTAAATTGTTCTAATGATTGTAATTGGCTCTAGTGTGGTGCTTTTATTTATTTAAAACATAGATGGTATATTAACACAAATTTTCATCGACATTTCTTTATATTTTTCCGACACTGCATACATAAATATTTACATAATATACAAGAATTGCTCGTAGAGTTATGCGTAGTAGTTTAGGCTACGCATTGCTACGAAACCTTTAGGCACTTTAGCACGTAGATTTACCCATATTCAATTATCTTCGTGTACCTACCAATCGTGGTAATAATATTTAAGAAATTCATTAAAATTGTAGTGAAGTTTGTAAACATTATATCCCTAGGAGCCTCGATTTAAAAAAATGTTTTGTAATTAAAGGTAGGCAACGCATCTGCAATTGCAGATATCTATAACCAGCGGTCGCTTCGCTATTTCAGCGAATTACGATGGCTGCTTGCTCGTTTGCAATGTAATATAATAGAAGAAAAACTTTCTTCAGTTTTGCACATGAATCTTGATAGAGTCACTCTCCATTTATCTTTTTTGTAGATATGTAGCAGTCAACATAATATTTTATTTGCTTTAATGAAAAATTATTTGATCGGTATATACTAATATTACACATACAAATCTGAGATCTCCAGAATGAGTCATAGAAAACGTTTAAAATAAATGCAACTCTACATTTTAATATTATCAGAAGAATAAATTCGATATAAAAATATTATGGAATTTCTTTTTATTTATTCGTATTCATAATTTATTTGATGCTTTAGTCTTGCATCATGTACGCACCAAAGCCAAAATATATCTCTGCCCTTCGGATGTAATTATTATATTGTTTAAAGGAACATTGAAAGCGTTAGCACACACCGTTAGTAAAGTCGTTAAGAACATTATTATGAGTGTAATGTGTTTGGCACTCGATAGCTGCTGCACCACTTGAGATGGTGACGTGAAACAGAAGTTGCCGATTGCGAAGACGGTAATCCTGTCGTCGTACCGTTCGAGTGGTAAAAAAATACTTTCATATTTCCTTAATCTTTAGACAAGTTCAACATGATTGACTCACTGTGAGTTTTTAAGACCAAAATCTCTGTATAAAACATATCGTCATCCCTGTCATTATCTTTGACAAAACAAAGATAATATAATGTTTTAGACATTCGTTACTGTTAAAGTATACTTACGTATACAAATTACTTTTATACGAATAGTAGTTTTGGTAGTAATATTATGTTTTTATTGCTTTTTGATCTAACATTGAAATGGGACTGCACAAAAATATAAGTAATTAACATTAATTAAAGGTAGTAAAAAGTAAAAATTGCAATCCTCGATGAATGCGGAAAAAGGGTTCAATAAAAACGTCTGCAACTTATTGTAATAAAATAAAATCATACAAATTATATCTTTATAATAGTTAATATGGTTTTCACACCCGTTGAGTCCGGGTTATAGCCACTTCAGTGAACCAAATTTACATCAAGTGTTTACATTTACAAAGCAGTGGGGACTAGGGATACTAGACTAGTTCAATATATTTATTTGATAAAATCTTCATACGTAATTAAAGCTGTAAAAATAGAAAAGACTTACCATGTTCATTAGCGACGGCATACTGATAGTTCGGTAAGATGTCAGGCAAGTCGTGGCGAGAAGGCGGCGACGACGGCGGCGGCCGGTAAGTCGGATCCACCGCGCTATACGCCAGTGGCCACTCGCGCTCCCCCATCCCCCCATATGAGCAGTAATCTCCCCCGTACGTCAGCTGCTGACCACCGGAGCTCGCGTGGGAGTACGCACAGGCTCCGTAGTCTATGGCGGTTGATCCGCCGGCGTTCGAGCCACTGCCACCTGCCAGTTCGTAGCTCGTCGGCTGTGAGGGCGGCAGCGCGGCCACCCCGCCCCCGCACAGGTAGCTGCCGCTGCCGAACTGCGGCTTCAGTGCCTGACACTTGCGCCGGAACCCACGCGGCCGCCGTCTGAATGAACCTTCCTCGAACATGAATTCGGTCGAAGGGTCTATTGTCCAGTAATGCCCTTTACCCGGTCTGCCTAAGCCTTTTGGAAGTTTGACGAAGCATTCATTTAGACTGAGGTTGTGTCGAACTGAATTCTTCCAGCCTTGGTAGGAACTTCGAAAGAAGGGAAACTGTTGTTGTAGGAAGGCATATATTTCGCTGAGGGTGAGTCGTTTGTTGGGCGAGTGACGTATCGCCATAACTATTAGAGCTATGTAAGAGAAGGGTGGCTTTTCTTGCCTGCGCGTGGCGGGCGCGCGGCGCGCCGCCTCCTCGCTGGTTTGGTCTTCGGTCTTCATGCGTGCGCGGGCGCGTGCGCGTCGAGCCGCGTGTCGGGAAACAGTGCGGCCGCCCACTGCGCGCGCGGCGCCGCCGCCCACACCGCGCCGCTCCCCTCCTACCCCTTCTTTATGCGTCTTCTTTTCCCCGCCACACCCACGCTTTTCAGCACACTTTAATCTTTTGCAATTTTGAAAATGCTTTTAATTAATTTTTTGACGTGAACTGGTTACGATAACCAATGATTTCAACTTCCACTTTACACCTTATAGTTATGTACGTTAGCTACATTACGAGGCGACAATGTTCGAGTAAGCAGTATATTGATCATGCTTAGTAAATACTACACATAAATGTAAAAAATTGCAACAAACTGCGCTATTGTTTAGGTGCCATGCTGTCACATATGACGACAATTATTGAGCCTATTGAATATACTTTCCAGTGGACATCGCTTAGACCTGTCGACGTCCTCCTCAAAATCCATGGTAGAGCCAGGTGGAGTCTGTGGTGAAAGTGGAGGGCAGCAGTCCGCTGGCGGTCGTTGCACCCGCGCCCACAGCCTGTATCATCAACATTTACGTACAAACACTAAAGAACGGAAAACCCGCTTAGACAATAATATTTATCCGTCGCAAGGACGCCTGTCGAACGGCCGCTCTTGACCTAGCACAATTAAAGCAAACATTTTACTAGATCTATAAAACAGTTATACGACGTATACCAAATATTTACCATAAAGCGTAAACCAAAAGTTTTGCATTAAACTTGCCGGATTTATTTACTCAGTATCGTGTAAACGATCGTCGGTTTACAAAAACTATCTTTATCCACGGGTGATAAGGTGCTCTTTTGTAATATAAACTTCATGTGACTAGTGATTCATATGACTGTAGCATGCTCGTCGTGGAAGTCATTGTGAAAAAACGTATCTACTCAAGTTTGTATCTTATTTTGGTGTGTAAAGTGTTAAAATCGTTTGACGAGTACCCCTGGGAGTCTTTAGTGAACAGCCGGGCCGTGTAAGTCTTTTAGAAAAATGTATAAAAGATTTGTTGAAAGTCTCGTCTCGTTTACATACTCGTATTTAACGTACGATTAATCTATTAAGATGTCTTTAATCTGTAAGAGGGACAAAATATAAAATTTGCTTTAACTAGCAGCAGCAATTGACCTATTTACTTTTCGTAGTCGTAGTAATTATTTCTTTCCTTTTTCACTTTGAACTGCAAACGTGGCGGAATTCATAGAGGTGATTACGTTATATCTGATGTCCTGGTGTTTTTAATATTTTCCTCCCTCTTTTATAAATTTATTTTATCTATATCTAAATGTTATTAAATATATTGACACCTTATAATCGAAATTCCCATCTAGCAAAATCTTGTATTTAGGACCCCAGAGCCCAAGGCAAAGATATATAATGTTTTTTTTAATGTCATTAATTTTTTAAGTGGGTTCCTTTAAATTATTCGATACCGTTTAGCTTTTAAATAAAGCTTAGCGTTAAATACATAGGTAGTAAAACATATAATAGTAAATAGTATTAATACGAAATTTCCGTGTTGCAATAAATAAATAATTAATTAATTACCATTAAGTAGCTATCTATAAACGTAAAACGCGCCGAGACGGGAGCAGGGTTGCTGATCTTTGTCATAAACAATTGCTTCAGTAGTAAACACGGTTGCCACTATTATTGCTCACGCATATTTATCGTTGTGTTAACACCTCATCACAAATACAGTTGTAAATGTTGGTTTTATATCTATTGAATATATAAAAGAAATACATACATAATCAGATATAACATGTGGGCTTATGTAGATAGGATATATTCGAGTTAGTACTTGTCCATTAAATCTCCAGCTGACTAAAAACAGAAGAAAAAACAGCACACGCTGATCACAATGAAAAGTTTATGTATGATACGGCCAAGATTCATCCGCCTTACTCTTTCCCGCATACGTTTCGTCGGCACGACGAGTTTGAGAGAGACACTCGGGTGAGCAGACGCGCGGGCGCGGCCCCGCCTACAAGATGGCGCGCGTACTGCGCGGGCGCCGGACGTAGCCTGATCTTGAACCCTCCATTCATCACCTTTTACGATCCAGTGATGTTATCTTTGAGGTTTTTACGGTTTCGCCTTAATTTTAGGTACGCAATTAGACATTTATGAGTGGTGTAAATTGATTCTCGACCACCAGAACCAAACGAATTGTTATCGTAAATTTTCAAGTTCACATAATTTTGTACGAAAAAATGTATGTAGTATACATACTTTTTATACAAATACTTGCGACTCGCTCAGGAAGAATTTATATTTCCATCACACCTTAAAATCTGCCGATTATTTGATTGCTTGATGATCTAGCAGTATGCCTTTAAGAGCATGTAGTTACGGACAAAAAAATAGGTATTAGTTAATACTATAGTAGCTATTAATTTACGTAAAATACGTTTATATAAAAATTATCGCAAAATAAAATATAACAAAGAACAACAAAGTTGCACCATGATATATGTCGGCAAGACAAAAGAAGTTTTATCATCTCGTACTGTGAAATGTAACGCCGAGCCGACATATTTTATATCACTTCTAATAACTAGGTGTTTAATAACAAACCGGCAGTCGGGACAAACCACTATGTCTATACAAAGTTTATCGTTGTCTTGGATTGTTGCTTAGATTCTATGCTTTTTTTTGTTAATGATTCATTGACACGACACTACGTTAGCGTAGTTACTGGTAACATTTAAAGAACGAGAAAATGTCTATTAAATTTGTTACAGTAAAATAAACGCATACAGCAAAAGATGAGTACCCGAAACCAAAGATATGTGTGAACGTCGAAAAACGAGAGAGGTGTGTCAGGATCGGACTAAATCTATTTATTTATCCAAAATACTTTCACTCCTATTAGTTACAGGTTGTACCAAAACTTCATCTTTCGCCCGTCCTGTTCCTAAGTTAGGAGAGGTGGCCCAATTTCTCATATATTCGATCGATCGGCTCAATTGGATTTTTATTCCCATTTGACTGATCGCTTGGTATACCGATTAGCTTAATGGGAAAAACTAAAGACGAATTTTAAGACACAACCTAATAGTCAAAATGGATTCTATCTGCACTTCGACTATTTTATGAAAATAAAAAATTCTTAGAAAAAAAATACAATGTAGTACTAGTCATAATAAAAGAACACTTATTACACGTTTTTGGGTGGGTAGTTTTTGATTTGATTACTTCACGAGAGACGCGCAGGAATTTTAAACGCTTTACATCTGCGTATGATTCCGTGCGCAATGGCATTGAAATGGTTTAATTATTGAACGTAAATAATAAATAACACAGACTTTGACAATTCGCGATAAAATATTTATAGTAGTGAATTAAAATTCATTGATAAATAGTTTTATATTACAACAAAAAAATCTTTTTAGAATAATATTAACTATGCTCAGGAAGTTGTATTAATTGTAGAGAATAATTATTAAAAAAAAATATTATAACATCTTTATAATCCCCATACTTTAAAAGGTAATTCACTAGTATTATAGTGCAGGATAGAAACGTGAGGAGCCACTGCTCCACGCGATTCCGTCGACTGCAATGACGGAGTTGGAGCCGAACTACCGGATGCAATAGCCCCCACCCCCGCATTTCCCCAGCTTTTTCCCCCTCCACCCCCACTACATAGAACGATATTCGCAGGTTGCATAGCGACGACACACCCTCTGAATGCGAATTCATATCCTAACTGTTCATGATGCCCTAGTACCAGTTCAAAATCTGACCTGGTTGATCGGTCGTTTTGGCTTTGCTGCCTGCCATAAAATATGCAAAACCATGAAAAATAGCTACGATTCGGTCTTTTAAATAGGTATGTTTTTAATTTTATTTTTCATATTTTTTACATTGAACGATGAATGAACAGTATAGTTTTTCGTTGCAACTTTTTTCCATCTACAAAAAAATTAAAACAAGTTTTTTTTTGGTATGTTTGGTTCGAGTGCATTTTGAATTTGGATTTTAACTATCACTTTTGGCAGTGTCAATAACGATTGCAACGCTCCTACCGGATATAAATGTAACAACAAAACTATATCTGTGGGTTTCGACTGCCGTGACAGTTGTGTTCAGGGGGTGGAAACTTAGAAGAACGACGGTTTGTATGGAAAGTGGCGCCACCTTTTATATAATCGTAAACATCATTTCATCTCATGGCTGAGAAGAAGCATCATTTCTGTCATCGAGACATTCATGTGTCATCAAACCGCTACGTTTTTTCGTATTTCTATTTCTGTTCTTGTATTCTTAGTTAAATGTTGTTTCATTCATTTTGTTTTTAATTAAAATGTGTGTTCGTGAAAAACGACGCTGTATGCAACTGTGTTTTAGATGGACTGATTATGGTAAGTTACAATTCAATAAAAATTTTCATGTTATTCCCATACGTCAGACTCATTTAAACATTTAAATATTTTCGTATTTTGGTGTAGTTTTTAGCACCACAGTGATTTATACTTTCCGGTTATCATATTGAATGGTGCCCTACTTCTAATACATTTTACATATCAGTTCCTATACTTGACAGGAAATCACAGTCTGTTTGTTTGTTGTAGGTGCACATATACACGGTTTCCCCCTTCCTGAGAGAAGGTCAGTGAAGTTCAGAAAATGTGTGCCAATCACTGGAATTATAGAGCCATAAACTGATGTGTCTGAAATTAGTAGGTGGGTCCATGTGTGTATATGTAAAAAATATATTTTTTTATTTGTAATTTTTTATTGTAAAGAAAAATCTGCTTGCCTATGTTGTAAGAGAATATGTTCAGAGTGTTTAAACTCGCAAATAACTACAAATTGCCAGTTGCCAGCTTGCATGTGACTGAAAATATTTTGGGGGTTGGTTTTAATTACAGGGTATGCATTTTTTTGTGACCGCGCTATACTATTTATTACCGTAAATGTAATTTTCAAATATATATATTAAATATTAAAATATTGAGCTGATATCTTGAAAGTCATTGATGTATATGTACTTGCATAGATTTAAAATTAAGTTATGTAGAAATATAATAAATAATGTACAAAAATACAAAAATATTTTGTTTTTATTTCCCCAATAATAATAGGATCATTTTAATAGAGGTATTTCATAGAAGGCTACTTGATATCGGCTCACTATAATAATAACTGATAAGTGGGTGTATTATTTTTGAACATTGATTTAATGTCAATTTTAATTTCATAAATTAGATTCCCACTTATCAGTTATTATTATAGTGAGCTAAATAAGCGTGCCTACGTATATAGATACCAAAAAAAAAAAAAATAGTTCAGCGATTATACGCATGGAGCGCCACAATCGCCGTGGATCCACGACTTCGTGCGAGTTGCCCCTCTTTCTATAGTATACTTATTATACTCTTTGGTTGTGTTGGACATATTGCTGCCTCTGTTTTTCAAAATAGAATATGTGGGATGACGATATGTTGAAATGTAAATGTCAGTACAGTGGAACCTTACAATAATTTTTTTTTCTTTGACGTTTCATTTAAAGGGAAATTTCAATTATTTTTTTATAACCCCAAGCTTATAACACGCTGACACTTATCTGATCAACCCTTACCCCAATATGTGTAGAATCACAAAGATGCATGCGCTGGCAACCAAGAAAAGATCGCAAATCACATTTTATGACGAAGTGGCCATGTGCGTAGTGTCCGTCAGCGGGTACCAGGCGTGCAGCGTTAGGGCTACTAATTTACGTGTACTTGCTGCTGCGAAGAGTTAAAAAAGTTAAATTGTAACCTTATCAATAACTAGGTAGAAACTAGAATTATGTCTCGGCTTCACACAGTTAAACAGACATACATAAAAAGTCGTTAACATGTTGATTTTTTTATCGAAATCAGTTTAATTTTCAGTTCTTTATGGCAGTGTCCCTTAGCCCGTTTCTATTCTCTAAGAATAATTTTGTAAGTAAATATTTTGATTGCAGCCTTGTATATCTTATACATATTTTGTCTAGATGTGGCAACCCTGTTGGCACCAATTCGCGCCTTGAAGCAGCTTTTCGTGCGCGCCTACATTTACTCCTCATTGCTTTGTGAGCGAGGCGTATGTTTTAATAAGAAACAGACTTCAGGAAGCGGCAACTAGATTTATTTCAACGATTTCATTTGCAGCCCGCAGCGCGCTACGTAAACATTTCATCGGGGAAAGTTGGAGTGTTGAAGGCTTGACAGTTATCCGTTATATCAAAAGATATAGTGCCATAGACGTACATAGACGCGGATTATTATAGGTCGATTTCATTTTAAAAATGTTATATACTTACACATTTTATATCCCATCCGTATAGTTTCTATTACTTACAAACAAGTGAAGTTCCTCCTTTAATAACAATTTAACATCTTTCTACAATTCAGATAATTTTTTTCACGCTGCAGAGTATTTTTCCGAATGATGTTACTACAATATTCTATTGTTCGCTTGCATCGATCTATACATATATACAATACAGTGTTATATAAAACGTCGCTATAAACGTATATCATCACCACGTCTACATTCCAATGAACAGGATCCATTACCGGACTATGTAAACATAGGCACTGCCGACGGCGACTTTAAACGCATTTACGGCCATCGAAACGGTCCAAACGCTTTTTGTTCTTTGCCGCACGAAAGGCTAGACAAGTTTAATTGAGATACGTTTCTCAGTATCTAAAAACAACTTTTTTAAAGACTTAAAGAAGAAAGCTCACAGATCAAAAACTTTCGAAGGTTAATGGATAAATACGAAATACTTATCGGTTTTTCTCTATAGAAATCACTTGTACCATAGTATTTATTCTAACACAATGGACTTAGTAGATTATTTTGTGATGCGCCTACTTACGTATAAATTTGTTATTTGAGGTAAGTGATAAAATTGTCAATACGAAAAGAAATAATCGTTTTTATTTATGACTAACTACAAATAAACTATATGCATTTATCTCTCTATAATATTATTAAATATTTTGATTCCAAATTCTTTGCTAGACATTTATTTGTGCGAAATTGCAGACATATTTTTTTTCCCACCGCAAGTATATATTGTACAGATTCATAAGAATAAATCATATTGAACTAGAATTTATGATACAATGAATTATATTTGCTACACTTGAAAGATGAATTGGCTTATCGTGCCTATAGTATTCTGTTGAGCGCTTAATACTTAAAAAACAAGAACTATTATAATGCCTACATTAAAAGAAATATTTTCACCGCATCGGCCATGAAATTCGAAATTTATTGCGTTTACATTTGGATCTACGTTGATCTTAAACTTTATTCTTTCCATGGAAATTGTTAGAATATGTTTTTAGTTTGTGTTATAACTTGAGTTGAGCAGAAACTTAATAAAGAAAATAACTTCTTTTTTCTGAAGTTCAATTGCGAAAACACAAGAGATTACGAGTATTGAGTCTTCTCTCTATATTAGTTAACAAAAAAGAAGTTCTAGAAACAATCAGTTGGCGTAGACATAGAATTAATTACTTGATGTTCGTTAATTTGTTTAAAAGTATTTAAAGAAACTGTGGGGTACTGCTGGCCATTTTTGGACGTAACCCTTACACAATATGATATAGGTAACCATTTAACCCTCGGGCGGCGGATGTAAACAAAATGTAAATCATGCTCGGCACATCGGCCACATGTGCGTTGGTCGAGGTTAAAAAACTTACTAGTTGGTCTTGGCTTGGCATGGACGTTAACAAAAAACTTAGGAGTTTTACAACATGTCTGGCGGGAAAAGATAACTCTAAGTGCGAAATACAGGGGCAGCCCAATCGCTCAACAGATAAATGTTGTGTGAGATATATGTTCGTACAACATTGCACTTCATTTTAAAATAACGAAGTTAAGATTTCAATTTCACTAACAGAGTAACAGAAGTTAAAAAGTTAACGAGATGGTATATAATAAGATTTTGTATGACTAATTAAATTAATATTTAATAAGCTGCATGAATAAAAGGGAAAAGCAAGGCATTAATTGTTTAGTGACTGACCTGTCCCATAATCTCGAATTTATTTAAAATTCATACAAGACGTCGTGATAATTTTATCATGATGGCGGAGACGGGTATAAAGATGAAATCGGGACAAAGGGACGTCTAATCGTCAGGATGCAGCCATCAGCGGGTTCCCTTTGTTTTTACTTGAGCGCCATACGCGGCTCTAACACAATATACAAATCACCAAAATGTAACCGCCCCGCGCCCACACGTTCATTGCGTCCGTGTTTTGACGACTCCGTCATTCCTTTGTCTAAATACTGCTCTTCATCTGAATTCTAATGCAGTGATAGTTACATTACATTATGCAAGAATAATAAAGAGAAATGTAAAACCCGCAAAAACATATATTTTTCTTGTTCGAATATGTTTTTTTAACAAGTTTCTATTCTCGTAGTTTCTAGTTCATAGCAAAAACGGTAACATTATTGCTGTACTATAAAGAAAACGCCATTATTAATTTCTTAAGTTATAATATATTGTTACAAACCAAACTAAACTAAATTAATAATTAATAAAAATATATTGCAAAAAAGTAACATTGTTTTAACCTACAACTTAGTTTCCACTGAAAAAAATATCGTTCTCCACTTAATAATACGAGAACTTGTTATCGATGCATTACTAGTGGAAATTAAAATGGAACCGATATTATAAAATATACCACAAACATGGAGATCAAACACACTGTTAGTCGCGATAATGCATTACTGGCTGCATACGTACATTTTTTTCATTAACTTCGCTTACAACTACTTCATAGTAAAAAATACACTAACAACCACACTCAGACAAGAGAAAATAGCCAATCAAAATACACTGAGTATGGAAGGTTAATAATTGTTTGGTAATAGTAACGCAGAACGAATGTCTGCAGCGGTGGGCGGCCCTGGTTCGTTGAGCTTAGCCTCGTAGTACTTGGTGTCACCATCTTGCACTTCTTGTAAATTGGCGATATTCAAAAAGTCCATCTGACTTTGTGGCAGTACGGTGTGCGTGTAAGTCTCCACGTCGATGACAACGTCACCGTCATCGAGGTGCGAGCGCATGTGGAACTTGAGGTGGCTGCTTTGCTTGAATCGGCGTCCGCAAACGCGGCATTCGAACGGTTGGATGTTGGTATGAGTGCGCATGTGCTGCCGTAGATGCACCGATTGCGAGAAGCACTTACTGCAGATCACGCACTTGAACGGTTTCACTTTAGTATGGGTGCGGATGTGCTGGTCGAGGCCAGCTTTCTGTGTGAATGCTTTCGGACAGAAGGTGCACTCGTAGGGGCGTATGCCTGTGTGCATGCGCATGTGCTGCTGCAGCCCACCCTGCTGCGTAAATCGCTTGTCGCAGATAGAGCACTGATGTGGCTTCATTTTCATATGAAATATACGATTGTGTTCCTCTTGATCGGAACTAGTCATAAAATTTTCCCCACAAATACGACAAGAAAATGCCATCGTCGGTGTTGTTTCTTGTAATCCCGCAGGCTTTGACTCCTCAAATTCTTTGTATAGACTCTTCTCGCAAACTTGGCAACGCAAGGCAGCTTTCCGCCTCTTTGTGTGTTCTTCGCGATAGTGCAGGGAGTACTCGCAACAATTAAAAAACATTTCCTGGCATTGAAGGTCTGGTCTTAGGGCCAATGTTGCAGAGCAAGTAAAGGGACCTCTGCAAAATAATAATGTAGAAAATATTGTCTTTAACCGACAATTCATAACAATGTTGATTAAAGTTTTATTAATAGACGTATGTATGTATGTATGCATAAAAAAGTGAACAGGATTGAGTCTGACTATAAAAATTTGATAGAGGTGAATTTAATTTATTTCTTTTAATCGCTAGACGATACCATCTACTTTACAAATTTCTGTTTTATATTTACCTTAAGTCAACAGTCTGTCTTCCTTGCTTCATTTGTGTGCGTCTTAATATACCGGGGCGGCGGTATCCTTTCAATGCGTTCGAATCTATGTCGTCCCCTTCAACTTTTAAAAGTATGTAACTTGTATTTTCATTAAAATAACACCTCTTGTTTCCATCCACGATAGTTGTTTCCTTGTTATCTTCAAAGTTACTTGGCACAAATTGAAATCCGCGAAGTCCTTCCACACCCTGAAAATGCCGTTGCCTTGTGTGAGGGCCATACAATAAATAAATGGCGCATGAACAGAACAATACAAAATTTACATGTTATACATAAGAGAAGAAAAAAAACTATATTTCTTTTAGTGGCTTACATTCTGCCAATTCCCTATCTACATAAATATCTGGCTTTAATAGCCATAATAAATAATAATAAATAATAGGGAATTAGCGTTATTTTTATTATTTTATAGAGATTTTATTTCAGGAAATTTATACCTGATCATTTGTTTGTGCAGACGCAATTGTTTGATCAGATTCATCATTCAATGCCCTTGGAAGATGGTCAAAATTTTCATGATTTCGCATTGCCGTCTCATTACAGAATGCTTTGGTGCAAAAACTACAATTGTAACGTGGATTTTCCTCCTTCTATATAAAAAAATTAAATGATGTTTAAATAACAGTGTAACAATTGTCTATTATTTACGAAGAACCATTTTAAAATAGCCGAAGGACTAGAGGGTAAGTGGAGGACTATTTTATTTAATGTAAAAAAAGGTTCTTCCGTTGAGTTATTTTACTAGCAAGTCGCCCCAGCTTCGCCCGGGTGGCAAAGGATCTCTCTAATCACTCTGATCTCCTTTCTGATGTTCCGTCCCGAAACAACATTGTAAACGCGGGCGCGGCCGGTCCGCGAGGTTATTTTTCGGTTACGCTACTTATTTGTGATCGTCATATCTTCTAAAGTATTCGTCAAAATTATATACTGTGAAAGGTAATTTTATTGTCCATAAACTTTCCCTGGTAAGGAAGGTATTTATTTTGATAAGGATTAGTATTAAAACCGAAAAAATAGCGACGCAAATAACATATTTTTTTGCTTCTTCTAAAGCAAAATGGTTATTGTGCCAAAACAGTAAAAGAATTGCCATCGCTGACTTTTATATATAGTTCTAACGATGAAGTCAAAATCAATAAAGACAATTTTTTACGAGTTTAAAATTACGCTGTCTATTAATGAATACTAAACTTTTGACCTACACGATGGCGAGAACCGAATTTCGATCTGTTTTGTGGTTAAGCATAACGTTGGAGTAAAACAGAGTTCTTTAGTTTATACGATTTACAAAGAATAATTTTTATATTTAAATTAGCAAGATTCTCTCACCATTGAAATCAAATTAGAAAGGTTGGGAATCTTAACACAATTTTCCTCGGCCAAATCCAAACTATTGATCGCGTCGCTTTTCCACATTATTATGAAATTTTTGTTTCCTGAAGATTCTCGGTCTGTGAAAGGTTGTGAAGAATTTGAGTAGTTTCTACTCAAATTGAAGTTAAAAAGAAAAAAGTAATAATTATTGTTGTCTAATTAGTTAATGAAATACTGTGTATGCTTATATTAATTTTTAAAGTTAAACTTGCACAAAGAAATCGAGTATCATTTTAGTTACTAAACTAAAGAAACGATAATAGATTTCTTTATGCTAGTTTAATTTAAAAAATAGTATGCATCATAGATTTATTATTTTACTCTACAAAATAATAAATTAATAATATATTTAATTGGTAAATGGTAAAGGTTTTTATAACCTATATCACGACATATAAAATTAATGATTTAGACATTTTTCTATTACAAATTTAGGTTACTACTATTTACTTAAACTATTGTCCATAAGCTTGTGATAATTATTTTCGCAACAATTTTTACTGGCCCTGGTTCTATCGATGTCCTGTTTACAGCTGGTCTCCACTTGTTGTAAATTTCGATACTGTTTATCACTCGTTATATTATCGCTATTTTTCCTTCGCTTAATACAATATTTGCTTTTTACTATCTTTTTTGCCAAAAGTTATAAGTATAAATTTATAGGTAAACTTTATGATTTTAAAATACAACCGTCCGTAAACCGTTTAAATGAAAAATTTAAATCGAAATCGACGGAAAAGACCGCTTTATTGTAATTTGAATGTTTGTGCAATCTAAATTTTACGAAAAGTTTCAAATCTCATAAAACAACTAAAAATAATTAACAACAGTAAAAAATTAGATTGTAACGTATTTATATCAATGAATGTTCTAAAAGAAATAAACAACACTAACCTTTGGTTTAACAATGCGTAAAATTATATTTTAAACATATATTCTTCATAGAAAGTAAATTAGTTATTTGTAAAATTTAATTAAATCGATAATCAGGCAATCAGTTAAAGTGAAAGACATAACCTTTATCCATAGATATTCTTTCTATCCTTTTATATTTTATGAAACTTATCAAAAGAGAAGAGAGGTTGATTAATTCCTGGTCAATTATTACCATAACAATTTTCTGTGGTATTTATTTGGTAATAATTAAAATTTTAAAATATAGATAGGTATGTGGTAGCCAAATATTTATTAATTTACACACGAATTGTATTAGAAAAATATTTTTGCGTATTAATTTTTCTTAATAAATTGTTTTAACGTGTTACGTCATGAGATGACGTGACACGTTAAAAACGTCACATTGGCCTTTAGTTGGCAACACTGGTTGTTAGTCGTGTCATCTGGTGTCATCGAAATCGAACCAGCAAACGGGAAACGAGTACATATTTTTTTTTATTAGATGACATTATATTGTCAGGAAAATGATAAAAATAACAACTTTATAAAAATTGTTTCAGGTTTAAATTTACATAATATGTATTGGTGATCATTCATAACAATTTCGTTTTTCATGTGAATTTTTAAGTTTAAACCATGGCAGGATCTGCTTTGCGACGTCTTATGGCTGAATATAAACGTAAGTACGGGATGTAAATATTTATTTATAACTAAAATTGAAACAAAACACAAGTAGTAAAATGTGATACTTTATGGCGCTAAAATATTAAATCTACATTAACACACTAAAAAAACACCTCTTCACTTTCTAAAACTGAACCTAACGGTATTCGCAATCATAAAGATAATTTATTTCCAATGTTTTATATGTATTACAATTACGTAAAATTGCCACACGTGTATTATATAATCACAGATACTTGCAAATGACACTCAAAATATATGTAAGGTTTAAAAAACACCACATGTAAATTGTTGCAGCAATAGAAAGCAAGTGTGTGAAACCACACACACCACATTAGTCATTCAATTATTACATATATAAAGATAATTTTAAAGGTATGTTTTTTATCTTAATTATGTATACTTTATAAATTTTTCAGAATTAACTCTAAATCCTCCAGAAGGTATTATTGCTGGTCCAATAAATGAGGAGAACTTTTTTGAGTGGGAGGCCTTAATAACGTAAGTGTAATTAACATTTAAATAGTACATACAATTCTTAGTAAATACAAAGCTTGATCCAATGGTTATTCACCCTTAATTGTGCTCAAGCATTGAACTACCAAAATTCAATAAATTTCAATATCAATACAAAATGTTTAATAAATTATCATAAATTTGTTTTTGTTTAAATGAAAATATGGTCATGTAATTTAAGCTCTATTTCAAATCAATAAGGCTTATTTTTCGCTGTAAATAATTGTGCAAATAAACTAAGCGGAGAGTTACCCGAAACTTGTGCAGTACTATGAGAAAAGATTTTGTACAGCGCCTGGAATCTTGTTGTGTATTCCTTACACTATTTTCTGATGACCTAACAGATGGCGCTGTGGTGAGACCTATATTAAATCATGAATAACAGATAAACAGTTATTCCGTTTCTGTTGGGATGTATAAAATATTTTGTTTGTGGTTAGCATGATGTTTTGTTGTTATTGAGAATATAAGATATAAGAAAATTTTTAATAAATTAAAAAGAAAACACTGAAACCTGGAGTCTCAATATAAGTTAGTAATGAGTACAGGTGGTATGAAACATCATGACCCCCAAGTTAACCTCATGAAAAGAATTTGATTTTCAGGCGGATATTTTCATATTAATTTGTTCATTGTTTTCTTTTCTTTTATAGAGGACCAGAAGGGACATGTTTTGAAGGGGGAATTTTTCCTGCAAAATTAATATTTCCACCTGATTATCCTTTAAGTCCCCCGAAAATGCAGTTTATATGTGAAATGTTCCATCCTAATAGTAAGTGCCTACTATTTGTAATAATTATCTAATCTAATGAGAACTTTTCAATGTTATAATACCTGTATATATTATAAAAAATCAAGATAACAATATAAAGATTTAAGAATAGTTAAATACTATGGTATTTGTATTCTTTTCATTTGTATGCTATCTTAATAGAATTATTGTCTAGAAAGATGCCTTAAATTTTTTATAAATATGGTAATTTTACCTATAGACTGCACTTACTTCTTTTAATATAAAACAAAACAGTTTTTTTTACAGCCAGTTTTTAAGGATGTTACAACTTTTTACATAATAAATATCTTCCATAAACATAACATTGTGATAGACAAACAACTAAAAATTATTTCTTGTTTAACTTTATTTGGAAAAAAATATTTTATTACATTTCTATTCTTAATTAATAAGATATTATTTAAATGTATTTTTGCAGGTATAGCTGTAGATATTTCATCAACAGAAACAAGAAATTGTATTCAAATTCACGTACAGTGAATGTTATGAATCATTTAAACACAATTCTCTCTCATTAAGATTTCCATGTATTCTATAATGACTTACATTACATTTCTTAGAAAACTTAATTTATATCAGATACATCAGTTTTCCATTTCAATCATTAAAATATTACTTACTAGCTACTCGCCCGCGACTCCGCCCGCGTGGATATATAAAAAAAACTTAATTATTGTAGCCCACCCACCCATCCATCCACATCACATCCATCTAAACATTCGTATTTATAATATTAGTAAGTTAAATAAAAAGTAACTCTTCAAGGAATAAATTCGAAAAAAAATTGAATATATATTATCCTATGTCCATCTCCTGGCTCTAAGATACCTCCTCACCAATTTATATTTTTTACCTCTCCAGACATATCGGTAAAGCCGTTCTTGAGTTATAAATAGTGTAACTAACACTACTTTCTTTTATATATATATAGATAACATTATCACATTAAGTGGTATATTAAGATACTTTATATTATATTTTTAGTATATGCTGATGGGAGAGTTTGCATTTCCATTCTACATGCTCCGGGTGATGACCCGATGGGCTATGAAAGCAGTGCAGAGAGATGGTCACCCGTACAGAGTGTAGAAAAAATTCTTCTGTCAGTAGTCAGCATGTTAGCAGGTGAGATTCTTCAAAAAAAAAAAATTATAACCAGCTGTCGCTCGCGACTACATCCACGTATATTTAAAAATTATTTTTTATTTATTTTAAATTGCATCACGAAGTTCATTCCGTAGATCACTGCTGAATCATGTGTACTAAAACATTAATTTCATTTTCTTACAGAACAGAAGTTAACGAATTAAGTAATGGATTAACCGGTATCAAATATTTTACAGAACCCAACGATGAGAGTGGAGCAAATGTTGATGCTGCCAAAATGTGGAGGGAGGATCGCAAACAATTCAATAAAATAGCGGAGAAACTCGTAAGAAAGACATTAGGCCTCCCATCTCCTTAGCATTGGTACACATTACAAAATATAATCAGATCGCCACACATTATTCAAACAAATATTAAAGTATTATTATTATGATTTTGTGATAACTATTAAAATGATTTTAGTGCTACACAAACAGTGTTATAATAAAGCAATTTTTATATGACCAAATGAATATATTAGAAAGTCATCATTATATTAAAATGGTTATTACCATTCATATCAATAAGACTTTTTTTGTTTAGAAGATTTAAAGTATTTTTATACAATTTTATTGTCTTATATAGTGCCCTATGTGGTATGATTAAATAATAATTTGTTATGTGAATTAAACTGAATTTAAATACTAGTTATACATGTTATAAATAATTGATTTGGAAATTGAAGTCGCTTTTAACATATGACTATAAATTTCGTAACATCACAAATAACATATTTGTTATTTAAATCGTTAATTATAATATTGCTGTATTCTTAATGTTTTAAATTTTGGCTTTTAAGCTTCTATGTAACTTTTCAGCAGTGTGTGCATTGTTTTTTAAATGCACGATCCATGAGCAATATATTTGATGATTAGGATTATATTATATATTCTGTTTTTTATGAACGGATATTGGCCTGTTGTGATGTAATGAAAACATACTATATACTTTAATATAATGTTAGTGAAATGGGAACCGGTACTAGTAAATGTTTATTGTTATTAATTATAATATAGAAGAAAATATATTATTGAAAATGTACAATCTTATTTTATAATACATAGCTTTTTCATTAAATTAATAAAGTGTTTAAATGTTTAGCAATATTTTTAATGTGGGTATTCACTGAAGGAACACAAAAAAGTATATGTAAAAAGGAAGATATGTTACACTTTAAAGCCACATATGAAAATGTGGTTTAGAGTCATGTCAAGTGTTTCGACAATAAAAACCTATGGTTACAAATACTTTTTTGTCTTAACACTAAAGATGATAATGTTAATTAAATAAATTTTAATATTAAATCTTATGACTATAATAATAATAATTATAACAGAGTTATTTGCAAAATGAGTAAATAGTAAAAGATTAGTAAACAATTGAAAATAAAATAATTATACAATGTTGATTTAAATGAGCAATGATGTTATTTGGAAAATAAGTAAGTAGTCATCAATTTAGAGGAGTATTGTCATCACAAAGATATTTAAAATCAGTTAATAGACTTTTTTTCTCCTTCTTGATTAATTCAACGGGAAAAATTTAAATATATGTTTCTAATACTTACTAATTTTATGGTACATACCATAAAATCTTTTTGCCTTTTGTATTATTAAAAGCCTTTATAGCAAATTAATATAAGGCACTGTTTGCTTTTTATATAACTAATTAAAATTTTCTAGCAATAATTAATTTAATTCAGTCCGTAAAGTAGGCTGAGTAAATTGTAACTAATGGAAACACCACTTAAAGCAATATTTAATTGAAGTTATACTTACATGTTATGGTTCTATACCTATGTTCTTTTTGTATTCTCGTAACTTTAAGATTTGTGATACGACAAATATTTACCTATTTACCCCAATGAGATAAAATGGCTTTTTAATAGAAATTAAATTGTTTTGAATGACTCAAAGTTGATGTTAATGCGTGATGTTGGTACTGCCTTAAAGTTAGGAGAATAAAAAAAGCACTATTTTATATAACGGTGGAAATATTTTTTTATTAAAATGTCTTTATAAAATATTGTTTTATTGAAGCTTAGTTACAAGAAAGTTCTTTGTCAGTATGACCTATAACTAGTGTTCCCAAGTTCCCCAGCTTTTCAATTTGAGATTTGTTAAAATTTAAGATATAAAACTCTAGTATAACGTTATCTGAACCAAACAGTATATGAATATTATGTATAACGGTTAGACCCAAATAAGAGTATCTAAGCCGGTGAGCGAAGCGCTGTAAAATATGTAAAACTTAGTTGGGCATAAAAAATGGCAAAAGAAAAAAAAAAGTAACGGCTCCGTACTGAAAGGATTTTGAAACTTATTGATATTGAAAATGTAGCGTTAGTGACCTATCATAATTTAGCTTAACTTATGCCCATCGGAAGACATGAGTCCGTGTCGGTCTATATGAATTTCTGACGCAATAAAATACAAGTTCGAGATCTGAGAAATTTCACAGGACGAACTTGTATAAATCATAAAATTCTATGGGAAAACATAGAAAACAACATTTCAATAGTGGTGATGTGGCAGTAAAAATTCACCATTTTCCATAGTTTAACTAACAACGATCAAAAAAAATGTTATTTTTATCCATTTTCTTCGAAAATGTTCTATGTTGGTAACACTGAGCAAAGCTTTGCACTTATTACATGATCTATGGTTTTGGTATATGCTATGGCTACTCTTTGAACACTCTCATAATTAAAATTAAAAGGTGTGGTTATAGTGCGTTGGCGCTAGGGGCGCAACTTTGAAAAACGTAGTATTGAGTCGTCGCTAGTCGCTAAATTTCCAGACAGTTATAGCTTGGCGTAGTTTATGAGTTATAATATCTAGAGTAATTCCAAGGCCAGGTAGTAATTGTTGATTGCATTGAAGATTTAAAACAAAGGTAAGAAAATTATTGAATAATATAAGAATTGATGACATTCAAACGCTACGACATAGATGGTATTCTATCTTTACAAAATGGACGTCAAATCATATTGTGACGTGATTATGTAAAGAAATACTTCTCTCCAAAGCTATATACAAGGATTCGATTACAATATAGTGGTTTGTAAACTTTTTGACATATGTAGATTTTGTAAATCGTTTATTTATGAGATGTATGTGTATTTGTACAATGGAATGCGGTGTAGAACAGTTATGATGGCATCCGACAAGAAGGCATGGCGATGACTAGCTAGTCTCGTTAATGACTCCATGTAAATTAATTATTGTGAAGCGATATTACTATCAAGCTTAATTTAACTAAAATAACCGTGTCACTTTATTTGTATTTTAGACAATTCTTTGTGCATTTTTGTTTACATTTGTATTACATTGTCATATCGTGTTATTTTGGCTTTGCGAATATTAGTAAGCATTACATCGGCTGGTTAATTTAGGACAATAGTGGTGTTTGCTGGTTTTTAAATTGCTGCCAAAGGTATAGGCTATTGTTCTTAGCCTAAATCATCTATATTAATTATGAAGAATCAAAAATTTAAAATAAACTATGCTCAATAGATAATACAAGCTGTCATTGACATTAATCAAAATTTAAATGTGTGGTAATTTATTAGATTTCTTCCACTGTAACAACAGATACAGAAGAAGTATGGGTTATTATGTATGACCTACAACAGAGTTCTTATTCATTTATTATCATTAATTTAGATTATTAATGAATGGAATACAAAACTTGTTGTGTTCTTTGTTAGATATGAAGTCCGTATAAGATGAGTGCAACAAAGATCCGTAGGTTAAATCAAACATATAACGCAAACCCCTTAACTTAAACTTGCTGAGTACTGTAGAGCATGAAAGTAGTCATCTAACCATATCAGCAATCATTTTCGATAGAGTTTAATTGGGTTAAATTATATTTTTGGGAAAGAATTTTTTAAATTCATAATTTTCAGGTAGGCGAAATTGGCTTTTGGGCAATCAGGCTATTTGAAATTTGTATAGTTTTGAGAATAATTAGATAGTACTTTAGACTAAAAGTTGGTACTTAATATAAGTATCATAGTATTCACAAGGAGATTACATTTTGAATATAGGTATAAAATTCTTTACAAGTTGTGTTTATATTAACAATGGATATCTGTAAGAATACAAATTGTTGAGAACAACAATTTGTTGTTTATAATGATTGTACAGTTTGCGTCAACTAAATATGACTTTGTTTATTTAAATTTTAATTGTTATATGTTTCAATTACAAATGTAATTAAATAAAATATATGCACTGGCACTTAATAACTATATGATTATAATTTTTAAGCATTTTAAAACACAAATCAATCACTCAAATAACACTATTATATTATCTCAATATTTTATACAATAAAATACACGGTCAAACTGCTCACAGTTGACATCTCTCTAAAGACTATTTAAGTTAGGTTTAGTAAGAGAAAAAACCATTAATCAAATTTAATTTATAAATACAATTAAATCTCAATAAGTGAGAGTCAAAGACACTGCAATATTTTTACTCGCTATTAAACATTTATCTCTAATCCATATCTCTCTCTTATGTTCAACTGTATATGATATTATTTTGATGCAAATGCGCTGAGCTAATTAAAATGAATGATTTTGGTTTCCTGCTTATGTTATATCTGTATTTGCTGTTATATGTTTGTTATTTTGTGTTTCCGGTGTATGTTTCTAGAAACAGACTTCAAGAAATTGAACAAAATCTTAAAGTACTTTTATGCATTGTTTCAGGTACTTGTCTCCATTGTGAGGCTATGACAGGAGAATAACTGGAATAAAAAAAACAAGGGCTTTATTGAAGTAAATATCACTAATTTCTAAAGTCTTAAAAATGCAGACTATTAAATGTGTGGTAGTTGGTGATGGGGCTGTTGGTAAAACGTGTCTTCTGATCAGCTACACAACCAACAAGTTTCCATCAGAATATGTGCCAACAGTCTTTGATAATTATGCCGTAACTGTTATGATTGGTGGGGAACCATACACTTTGGGACTCTTTGATACTGCAGGTGAAGCACCTCTATTTCTTTATTTTTAAGTTACTATTCATTATTATTTGATTTTTGTCTATGGTCTTATGCTTATACTGTGACAAAATATTATGTTATTTAATGTAGTCAATCTTTTACAGGTCAGGAAGATTATGATAGACTACGACCCTTGAGTTATCCTCAAACAGATGTTTTCCTTGTGTGCTTCAGTGTAGTGAGTCCAAGCTCCTTTGAAAATGTGAAGGAAAAGGTAATGTTGAATCAATTGGAATACTTCGATAAAAACATACATGTTATTTCATACTTTTCGGTAATGCATATAACATTGGTTTTATAATAATAATAAAAAAATATTTTAGTGGGTGCCGGAAATAACTCATCATCAGCAAAAGACTCCATTCCTGCTGGTTGGGACGCAGATAGATTTACGTGACGATCCCGCAACTATGGAGAAATTGGCTAAGATAAAACAGAAGCCAGTGTCTCTTGAACAAGGAGAGAAACTCGCTAAAGAGCTCAAGGCTGTAAAATATGTGGAATGCTCGGCTCTGACTCAGGTTTGTATTTGAAATATACTTTAACTGTTTATTTCATAAGTTCTTTAGTGATTATCAATGAAGGTCTTATACTTTAACTTATATTTAATTTGTGCCCATATGGTACTATGAAGAAACTTACAATAACGGAACATCTACATCAGAAGTAGTACAAAACAACTTTGCATTTTAAATTGATTTAAGTTTGTAGTTTGATTTTGTTTTTGTTAATAATAATTCCAAGTACTTCTTTTTAACATGGATCTTGTCTTTCAATTTAGTAAGTATATCAGTGGCAAATTTTTGATTTTCAGAAAGGATTGAAAAATGTATTTGATGAGGCAATTCTTGCTGCCTTGGAGCCTCCGGAACCACCAAAGAAAAAGGGATGCAGGATTCTGTAATTTGTGCGGTTAAATAACATACACATGTTAAAACCCTCAAAGCTATCAAATGTTTATAAGCTATCACTGTAATATTCAGCATATTTTTATAATCTAATAACAATTATTAAATATTATGCCATATTTAAAAATATTGAATATTACAGCTGCAATTAACTGCTTGTATCATAACATTATAATATCTTATCGGACCTTATATTTGATGAGCAAGTACGCACTAAATGTATATGATAAATTTTAACCAGGATTGTGAGAATCCATTTGCAAAGCTCGCCGGCCAATAGCATGAGTGCTTTTTTAACACCTTCGTATTGTCATTGAACACTGATAGTGCCATGTCTAATGCAGGGTAGAACAGCAAGGTAGTGCAGTATTGATATTGTTTTAACACTAACTATGTAATCAAATAGTAGGAGTACTGCATTGTCTATTGTTTTGCCGCACTGTTCTGCCCTTGTGTGAAACTGGCAAACATATGAAATGTTCAATTAACTGTAGTTGCTTGAATCAGTGAATTAATGCACAATTTTGCTCAGCACATTGATGAAGCTTAAATTGTTACAATAAGTATTGAGATGAATGTACTTGGTATTCATCATACAATAGTAAAATTGTGGCTGGTGTTTAGTTACTGGCTAGGTCCTGTTTACTTTTAATTTGGGACATAAGTTTGTTGGACGGATCTATAGCTGTAGCTATTCTTTTAATTGTATTAATTATATTATATATTATAATATTCACTTTTACATGGGTATTTTTTATAATTCTTATGGATTTAATGAAGCATTTCAATATTTGATATTTAAGAATACAAAGCAATGTCTAGGGAACAACAGTGAGATTCAAAGTGATAACATTTTTTTATATAATGTACAAGATTAGCAATTTTCATAAATTGACAACTTTTTTATAAATCTATGATAGTAAGTTGAAAATGTTTGAACAAGAGCTTGGCTCAGTAATTGTTGAAATTATTGTGTATGTAGTATTAACAACCTTTTTTGTATTACGGGAATTTCTTCTCACAGTATTACACAACACTCTTGAAGTGGAAAAAATATTTGTTCTTAATACATTGTAATTCCGCATTTGTTTTTTTTAAGTGCTTTTTTTAATAATATTAGTGCTTATATCATACTTGTTCCCTAGACTATGTTTATTATTATTAATATGAATTATTTGTCATGTAACTAATATATGTACAGGGTATAAATTTGAACCGGTATAGATTTAATTAAATGTTCTATTCAGTGTATGTTAAAGAAGTAATAAACTTGAACCTGATTGGATATTTGTAGTTGATAAAACTCTTAGTTTATTTAAGATATTTGTGGTAGGTTAATTTAAACAGAAAAGAATTGTGGTTTTATTATAAACATGAGATTACACTGCTGTAATATTTTTATTATAACAGTTGCCTGTTTTTATAAGACAGTTTTGAAAATATTTTTTTTAAATTAGTTTTTCGGCAGTAAACAAGATAGTCTGATAAATACTTTTTTGGAATAACGCAAAAAATTAGTTTGTCTAAAATTTATACCCTGTATATGTGCCTATACCAATTATATATTGGCAAAATTTCACATGATAATTTTTATTCATACTGTAATTTAGGTTTAAATCTAATGACCAGAATTTTTCTCTTTTGCATTTTTGTAATACAATATATTAATAATTGATAGAGGTAATTGTTTATTTTAAAACAAAGAATTGCGCATTGAAACATGCAGTTAATGTGTTAAGACAACTTTAAAGTTCTTGCATATTCCCAAATGAATGGGAGTAAAATGGATAGTTACTAAAATTCCATTATCTGTCAATTTTCTAATGATACAAAATTTTGATTTCCAAATATTTGTTGATATTAATTATTATGGAGTTTTCCGAAATTTTTCCATTACTATAATTTTATAAATAAGAACACGGTTTGAGTAGTTTCAATTAATTAAAATAGAAATAAAAACTTATAATTAATTTTCTACTAAAATGTACCTTAGAATTTTTATATTCCGTCTTAAGGATAATAAAGGATAATAGATGACGATGAAATTTATTTGCTTATTAATTGGAATATTTTTAATTTATGAATATGTATTGGATTTTTTTTTCATAATTTTGTTTTTAATTAGATTTAGGTGTATATTGATGTATTGGAATTTATAATAATGTATTGGATTTCTTCATCATTTGGTTTGTAATTAGATTATGTTTATATTGATGTAATAAATATAAGTCAAATATTTAAGTTTTTTTTTTCATTGTATGACCTATATCAAATCCTAAATGTATAGTGCAACAAGATATTTTAGCCTGTAAGAGGCGCTGCTATCGCGGTTAGTTCTCAAAGAACCTACCTTAGGATCTTGAATATGAACTATTGAAAGGGGGCGCTAGCGAGCTATCGTAATTTAGTTTGATGTACGACCCCCGTCATCTCCCCTAGACAAAGTGTATTCGCCCCAAAGCGATTCCACAACGAACAACAAAAATGTATGTATATAACTGAATAAATTAGTCTAGGGGGTGTGTGTGTGACGTAATGAGACATCTGCAACCCTGCAATGACCTTTATTCCTACGTCCTCGATTCCACCTTTTCCCTTTTTTTAGCCTCGAATTGGCCTACGGCACCCCATACATAAGCAATGGCTGCTGCTAACTCAACCACATTTAAACATCCCCCTTCATGTTTCTAGCAGATGTTCAGAAATGTAACATTATAGAGTAATGCAAATTACATTCAAACTCTTTGGATTGTCTTAAAATTGGGTAAAGTATCGTTTGACAATTTAATTTCGTTTTAATTGGCTTTAATGTACTTATAGATTTTCAGAAAAACGATCCTATCTTGTTCACGAGCCGGTAAGGTTATGACAATTTTGACGGAATGAATTTTTTAGTGTTTTTATCAGTTTTAAACCCTCTTTTTAATTATTAGTTAATAAATTATCAAACTTAAATTGTGAACGAAGTTTTTTAGGTGTGCAATAAAAAAAATTTCAAGTTATAATGAGTGACAGATTAAAGTTAACAAAAGGTCAATATTTAGTTGTATTTTATGTTGTATAAATTTATAATGTAAATTTCTATTATGAATTATCCTCTTATCTCTTATGAGTGAAGCGTATTCACAAAGAATAAAATGGTGTACTCTTGAAAATGCACGTATGACACCACACTGACGCATTCCTTCTTGATATGGCGGATGATCGTTAGGCCCATGTACATATCACAAATATCGATAGTCAAACTCCATGTGCTACGAAATCTTTCATTATCATTTCGAACGCGTATTCTTTCGCGTATATCTTCTGAACGATGTCACAAGGATCAATGTTTTCATTTGTTGATGCTCGTTCTTGAAATCATGGAAAATGGCAATATCATAGCTTTGTTTGTTAATTAAATATGTTTTTATTACTTTCTTTTAATTTTTAAATTCTTAATATTGAACAGATAAACACCACAAAAGTACCAGCAGCTTAGCTGGTGTATTATTGGATGGATCCCTTTCAGAAAGAAAGTTACTTGTTAAAGGTAAAACTTTTTAAATTTTATACTAGTATTTATTTCATGATATCTTTATTACATAAGCCACACAGAAATGTAATAACATAAAATTTATGCTAATATCATACTACGTTTACGGTTTATTGAACTATTTACATAGTTCGTTAAAATACTAAGTTCTGCGCGTAAATAAGAACAGAAATTATGTATTAAATCTATAACTTTCAGCAACAAATCATGAAGATAAATTTCAATTTGCGGAAACCCGATGCACAGAATTACAAGAAAAACTCTCAGATCTAATTAATAATTCCAAAAGACGTAAAAACTTGAAAAAAAGAAGGTGAGAATATGTTACATTTTGTTAAAATATTGTCACATTTATATTATATTAGCTGTCGTCCATGACTCCGTCAGCGCGGAGTTAAAAAAAAATTACAATTAGTAAATTGGAAAAAGAGGAAGATTGGTCTTTCAGAATCTCACTTCTTAGTTTATACTTCCACTCCAGGCTTGATTTATTATTACGTGCTCTACTACCAGTATTAAATATGTATTGGAATATTTCTTACTCATAAATATTGTATTACTTCTGTAGTGCAACTGGACTCAACACTATGGGAAAGATGTCAGAGTTCAACTCAGATTATGTAACAATAAGAAAAAAGAATCCCAAAAGTAAGTTTATTTGCTTAGTTTGACCTTGGGGCTACCATACACGGACTGATTAAATCAGTAACAAGCGGTCGAAGGGGTCTTCCGCCGTTATACATACCTAATAACATTGATCCATCTATGATTTAAACTTTCTCATTTATATTTAAAAGTATGTAAGATTACCACTAGAAGTAGTTTCGATTCATATTTCTTTAATTTCTTAATTATTGTAGGACAATGTAAGGAAGAAACGTTTTGTGAATGGGACAATGAATTTGCTCAAACAGGCAATAACGTGTAAGTATCATAGAGAAATCAAATGGTTTTTAATTAATAATTTGGTATTAATTTTTAGCTATAATTCTAATACTTTTAATAATGTTTTTGTTTTCTAGCTCAACTGGTATGAACCCTGTAGGAAAGACGTCCGAAGGCAATGCAGATTATGTAACTATAAAGAAAAAGAATCCAAAAAGTAAGTTTATTCTTTACTAACTGTCGCCCGCGACTCCGTCCGTGCGGTATTAAAAAAACGTATTTAGTAGTCTATATGTTCTTCCAGACTATGTTCTACATCTATGCCAAATTTCAGCGAGATCCATGCAGCCGTTCTGGAGATACCATCAAACAATCATCCATCTGTCCATCCATCCAAACATTCGCATTAATAATATTAGTAAGATTTATAACTAATACAAGAGATAATAAATATACGTGTTGACAAGTGTTGCGTATAATATATACGTATTTTACGTTACGATGCACTTTGTTATTATAGGACAATGTAAGGAAGAAACAACTTATTGCGAGTGGGATAACGACTTTGCACAAACAGGCAATAATATGTAAGTATATTTAGTTAACCTCAAAGCTGTCACGTGGTCGTTTTGTTTGGTAGTACTTTCATGCGGCATCAATCGATGACAGGACATGTATGAATTTCCCCCAGAAATAACATATAGAATTTTAATCTATTTCATAGGTCACCGGTACACGAAGCCAATGGCGTGAGAGGCGATGGAGAAAGTAAGATAATTTCCATGAAATATGAATAAAACGTGTTGCGCTTACTTATTAGTACGTAGTAAAGGTCTCATCGCTTAATTCTGGCACCAAAATCCCCGTATAAAACATATTGTTAACTGTGTTTCCTCAAAGATAATAATACGGTTGACGCTTGTTTTACTTATTTAGCAATCGTGGTCTCAGAAAGTTTGATAAAATATCTGAAAATTTACTATTGCAGACCATGCATCCAAATCATCGCGTCATAGCGTGACTTATAAGACAAGAAGACGCCCT